GCAAGTCTTGTAAAAATAATTTAATTATAAACCACAAACTTCGCTAATAAATATTTGTTGATATTTATTTTCTAAAATAAATTAGTAGATTCGTTATATACGTATAGGACAACATCAGTTAAGAAATGTGAGACTAAATGAAAAATTCGCAAAGTGAGAATGCGTAATGTCTAAATGATAAATATTTTTCAATTTGAATTTTTTCTTTTACTCATTGTAAGAGGTAACAAAATTCCTTATCCAAGTTGGTACATATGTATTTGGATAATTCTTTTTTTTTCAATTAGCATCATCGATTAAACAAAGATAAGTAATTTTTTCAAACAAATATAATTACCTTATAACTGCAAAGTAATAATTTTATTTCAAGATGACACCCAAAAAACTCAACAAAGACCCCAATTCACAACTGCTGGAAAAGCCTACCAAATCAAGACCACCTCTTGCACGATTGGCCAAAGACGATATTACAGTAATACTTTATGCCAAAGAGTTAAAAGGTGAATCTAAAAAAGTTTCGAAGTGGTATAAAATCGGTACCTCAAAGTACAATAAAATTTAGAAATCTGAGAACCCGTATTCATATACAAATTCAATCGAAAATGTAAACTTGCTTAACTGGTACCCTAGTAATACCAAAATCGAGAAGGTAGAAATATTTCCTGAACTAACACCTCAAGAAATAATTACACCTGAGAAACCTAAACCAAATCCCAATAAAATAAAGAGAAAGAGAAAAACAACTGAGATTGAAAATATCATGTGTCGAGTAATGAGGTCCGAGCTAAGTAAACTGGTTATAGAGGAGTAGTAAAAAAAATACTCGAATGTACATATCAAATTTGAATCGAAAAAAATAGATGTATATATGTTAGTATGACTAAATCAAGAAATAATATGCATAAAACAAAGAATAAGTTCACTGATAATCCATTCCAGTATATAAATCTGCTTAATCCTCATAAATATAAGTACACATACAATCTAAAAATAGTTTTGTTATAGTTAAGAATATATGTAAAGATAGTGTAGTGGGAGTGTTCGATTATTCTGAACTATATGTATATTTGGAAATACATCACCTGATGCTCCTGGCATAATTCCGGTTCAACTGCATTAATAAACCATGATAATTGGATTTTTTTACATATGATGTAGCATGTGTATTACCTGTAATCGAAGCATGCGTTTGAGACACACAGATCCACATGACCTAAAGAGTCACTCTATTGGAGCTGTTTTTCATATGACCCAATTTATATATAGAAGTATTTCAGTAGAAATAGCACTCTGTGCCTCGTGAAATATTCTTATGTAGCATAAATAATCGTTATACGTATTTTTTTCATTTTATTTTAGCCTGGAAATACTTCTATACCACATACGCTTTGTGATAAGAACATGTGAAAAGGAAACTCGAAAAGACAATAAGGGCAAAGAGCCGTTGATTTCTATTAGCGCCGTTAATAGAAAATGGTAATTATGGAACTTTGAAAACTCCGCAATTCCGAGATCTTTGTTGTGTTAACCAACTTCATTGTGATCGTTGAGCTAAAGAGGTTTCATTTATACGTTTATGACATAATTCTCTGCATATTCATATACTTTGACATTAATTGCATATGATAACACTTACTAGAAGACTGAATTATAACAGGTTTGAGGATCTCACTATTGCTAAGAATCAGAGATTTGATTGATAGAGAATAAAATTACTAATATGGCAGATCTCTCTAACGAGTTTCGGATTGTATGAATCAATATAAATAAGCAGGTTTTAAAAGACTTTGCCTCCTACTTTCCCACAAATTTTTAAAGGTACGTGTTATTCTGTCTTCTCACAAGTATGTTCGAAACCATATTTTTTTATTATATATATGAGCAAGATGACTATATAATCTTTTTTTGAATATATGAAAAAAAAGGGTGTGGTCTATATTCACTATAGGACTTTGTATTTAAGAAATAGAAATGGCTAGCGAAAATTCTATCTCCCTCAGGTATAGCATTTATAATGATCTGGATAGAAAAATTTTCACAGTTTGGCTATGCAAAGAAGATAAGGTTTATGTGATCAAGTTTGCTATTGGGTCTCTATTGACAAATCTAAGTTACCAAGTTCTTTTCCTCAATTTTGAACTCTATATGAATGATCCCGAGAATAAAGATCCTATAAAGATGTCAGATGAAATTTCTAAATATTTCAATAGAATCTCAGATCCAGATCAAATTCACATTCTCATAAAGTCTGGGAATTAGATTTTTTATCTGTATTCGTGTTATGTAATAGCGATATAAATTTTATTTTATTTTTGTATCAGTTATCACCTTCGAGACAAATAAAGTAATAAATTAATTATGTGTTGTAGACACTAATTCCGTTATTACATCATTATTGGTGACAAATTGTTATGAATTTTCAATGTGTATTTAGGATAGCATAATGTATTTATTTGAGCATTTATTTATATATCTTATTCAGTTTACAAAAATATAGGGCCTCTTACGAAGTAAGGATGCTTTGTATCTGCCCATGTTTCACATAAAATACATATCAGTTGAGCATCTTTCAGAGAAAATAAAATACTTAATAGTTATAAAAAACTAATTAGCTTTTACAAGAATATGAATTGAGATTCCGCTAGGTTTAGGATCAAAATAATCACTGATTTTTTTTTCAGGTTCCATATTCATATATTCTCTACATTCAATATTGACCGTACGAAGATTAAAAGAAGTATTTCTATATTCAATCAAGTAGTTATTCCAAATTTCAGTACGTAATGTACTAACGAGTTCGTTCTTAGAAATACTAATTCCATTTGGTATACTTCAATATCCAAAAAATGGGCCAGTAGAAATAATAAGAAATACGAGATAGATTCTATTATAAACCATTTTCTAAAAAATATTGATTTCTTATTAGTTAGAATTCCTTTCACCATCATGAAAGATTATAGCAAATAGACCTACCATTTTTTCTTTTACTTCTGATATGAATAATAGTGAAGGCGGTGTCTCGCTTTTTATACATCATTAATCTGATCAGATAATTTAGAGTATCAATATGATACATTTATCCTAGCTTATTTTATTCATTATTTATAATTGCCCAATGTAAAGTTTTCAAATAATAAAGTGAAATTAACAGGTTGATTCACATGTTTTAAAGTTTTTCGTGTGATTTAATTTGATTTATTTTCATATTTTTCGTGTGATTTAATTTCTCACACCCATAATTATAGTATGTGTTTTGTGGCATGCAAAGTCGATCATGAGGGATTAACGTGGTACTAGTTAATCAAAGTTAATCGTGCACAGATTAAGAATGAAAGAGGCGAATGCAGAATGAATATTATTTTGGATAAATTGATAGAATAAAGATTCTTTTGATATAATTGATCACAAATATATGGTGCTGAAGAATTTAAACTATAAATAAAGTTACAATTAACCATATTTAGCGAAACAAGCACAAAGTACTAAAACTTGCTCTTTATTGTTAAAAAATATTTGTATTTATATAACTACGATTACGATCAAATTAAATCAAATGTGAATGATCATATTGAAATTGTTTTGATGTCTTCTATCTTCATTTGTATCAAATATTAAACGATCTTATTGAAATTGTTTTGGTACTTTCTGTCTTGTAATGAATTCCCTATAAAAGATAAATTTTTTTTGTTACTCAATCATCCTGCAAATTTAAAATTAATAAGTAAAACAATACAATTTATAAAATTTTGCAGTTATCTTTGAATAAAACTTTCGAATTCATCACAGAAATTAATCTACTTAGCTTTGTTTGAATTAAGGTAACTTCGTTGTGATTAAATGCCTGTGCGTCCTCACGATTAATATTCTAATCGGATTTTCTTTTCTTACGCAGATGCATTCATTCAGCATTTCAGAGAATATGCCTTTTATAACATTAACCACTTCTTTGTTTTTTTTCCTCATGACGATATTTCTCGATCACACTCCTCTGTGTATGGGAATCGTTGGTGCATGTTTCTTTTTATACCACGCCACGCAAAAGTTCATCAATATTACCGCAGAAATTAGTAAAATCAAAGCTGAAATTAATTCTTGTGATACTAACTATTGTTGACCGTGATTTACCTTCAAATAAATACGATTAACTAACAACTAAAGGCAGGGAAATATGTATAGCGAA